CCTTAAGCTGGCCACAAAGTTGAATGAGATTTGGTTCCTGACCATAAGGAGCTCAAATTATCCAATCAGTACAACTTTTCTGAGTCTATTTCATGTTTTAAATGGGCTTTTAATACACAAAGGTTATCAATCTAAATCACTGGAGAACTTGGACCAAATACTTTTCTTCTCTTTTTTGCACTGGATTGCTCAGAGAGGACAAGTTGGGAATAGAAGAGGGAATAAAGGGGGTTCTTACAAGGAAGAGGGTTTGCACACATGTATCAGTGGGCACTGAGAATCCCAGGGTGCTAGGGAGTGGAGTTTAGTCATCCTCTAGCTACTCTGTTGATTTGAAGAGGGTTCTGTGCAACACCAGCCAACACGTTATGGGTAAAAGTGTTCTGTGGTCAAATATGCTTGCAGAAGTTTGTTTATCCTATCATCGACTGTTTTAAGAACCCGCCCATGACATAATAAAGACTTCAGGAAGTTTTACAGCAAAGAAAAAAATCACGTTCCCCATTCCAACCCCAGCCCCCCCAACCCTGGGCATCTCAGACTTGTTCTCCAATATATTATTTTGTCACTTCATATTTATCCATACTCCATGAATCTGGTGCTTTTCTCACTGTAGTTTAAAAAATAGTGAAGCAGTTTAACCTGGAATGTCACTCTATCCTAAAGAGCTTTCAGTAAGCAAATACACATTTTATAATTATTTTTAGTAATGTACATATTTACTTGGGGATGTAAATCATTCGTTGTGGCTGTATTACGATTAACTTTCAAAGATACTATGTTGTGTTATGTTACATTATAAAACATATCATACCTACCATTTCAAGCCGTGTGATCATACATGTAATGGGGTGAAAGTACATGTTAACAGCTCACACCAACACTCTGCTTAGGAAAGGAAGGGGATCTGGAGGAGTTTTTTTGGGAGAAGATGAAACTCAAACATGTAGGTCATCAGGCACCATGGTCGTCAATGAAAGTGCAAGATCAATAATTTCATGCAGGAAAAGAAAACAAGGAAAGAAATATGTCAGCACTAGACATATGCCAAGTGAAAAGGCAGGAGCCTGGTGTTCAAATTTAGAATTTTAGTGATTTTTTTTAGGAGTTTCCTCAATTCAAACTTAACTTGAAGCTGTTTGTGTTGCTACAATGTAAATCCCTATATCTTCCCCAAATTATGGACAAGGGTTTTTATGAAGTTACACACAATGAATGTTTAATTAGATGGCAATTTAAGAGTTGTGAGGGTCAATGCAGAATGAGTGGGATAAAACACCAATGGGGTGAAAGATGCCCCAAACTAAAGTGTTCAGTGAGAGTGGGGGCCCTCAGGTCTTTAGGGAATTTGTGGGATTTTTACAGAGTTCTGGAAGTGCAATGGGGTTTTTTTGATTGATTTTATCTACCTCTAAAGTAGCAGGAAAATGTATATCTGCATCTGGTATCTATCTATTTATCTTTTTATGTATCATCTCTATCTTTCTTTCTGTTATCTATCAAGTGATGGGTAGATATATAGAGATAAAGACAGAGATAAAGATAAAGATATGGATATGGAGGTCTTTATAGCAGCTTCAGAATCTTAATTTTCAATTATAAATGTTTCGTAGCTTAGGAAATTGGTAAGAAGTGACCTGCTCTGATACCCATGCACAGGCCAGCAGAAGAGGAGGCAGTCGGCTCCGCTAATCAACCTGCAGAAGCCCCAGAAATTGACTACATGTTTTCAGCCAGAATGAAAGCAGAGGGAGAGCTGAGCTGACCCGTCTTTTCTAGACTCAGAATTCTCTCTGGGTTCGTGGACAGGGTTGGGGAGAAGTGACTAAACAGAGCAAGATAGAAGGAGACAGGGGCTGGAGTTTAGGGTGAATTGGCTGCAGAGTCAAGCAATGATGTTAGGTTGCATAAAACAAGGTCTGGTGTCTCAAAAGGAGGAGGTGATTGTCCTTTCCTGCTGTGGTTTGGCCAATACACCTCATTTCTGGATTTGTGCTTCTTTCTGGAACTTGGCCACCAGCAGTTCCCAGGGAGACCTTAGTGAAGTGAAAATCTGGTCATGTCAGCCCATCCTTGAAAACCATTCAGTGGCTTCCCATTGCACGGAGAATAAATCATGCCCTTTTCCTAGTAGCCTGCAAGGGCCCTCATGCTCTTTCCTTCTTCAGTTCTTTCCCACGTACCATTCTGTCTGCCTGAAATGTTCTCCCTCTTCTACTTCTTTTTATGGTCCAGTTGACATCTATTCATTTAATGTATCTCAGATCACATGTTACTTTTCCAGTTAAGTTTTCCTTGGCCTCCAAGATCAAGTTGAGCTCTCCATTCTCAGTCCACCCTGCCTGTTCCTTTCCTGGTATTTAATTTGTAATAGGGGACCCCACCCAACACTGGCATATGGTCTGAAGAATCCAGGAGGGAGCCCTTCAGCCTGAGGAAGGACAGGGGGGTTGAGGAACACCCACCCAGATGGCCTCTCTCCCCATCTTGGGAGGTCAACGTGTTGGAACAAAACCAAGGATATTATCAGTCTCTGGGGTTGAGTAGAGTATTATTTGATCCTCAAAGCCAGTGGTCTTCAAACTGGAGTATATGTATCTCTGAAGATTCATAAATATTTTTCCAAGAGGTACATAAAGAACTTTGTTTTTGGGTGTTCAACTTCCATTTGAACTCTTCTCATATTGGTCTGAGAAGACTTGTTGAATTTCTTTTACTTATTTCAGTCTCCAATTTCCCATGAAAAACAAAGAAGGAACATACCTTTTATGAACTAAGAATCTTATGGTGTATTACACTAGCCTGAAATGCTTCCAGGGCACCAGACGGATAATTCAAAACATTAAAAATATTTTTTGGTGCTAGATTACTATGTGATTTTTTTGGTACATAACTCACTTGTAACCATAACTTAAATAACAATGGTTAAAGAAGAAGCTTCCATTTCTAAGCATTTAATGTCCATAAAAACAAATAAACAAAAGGGATAGAATGAACACCGAATCCTCTTACTCTCATGTAATTGGCCAGAATCATCCTCAGAAACATAAACAGCTTCATGCATCCATCTCATTAAAAGGTGCATTTCCAATATAATTATATTGGTTCTGCTTATAAATATTTATCAGAATCTGTAATGAATCCACATTGTGTTAATCCATGGCTTAGTAATAATAAAAACTATATCTCCATATAGAAGTAATTATTTTCAATACTTAGAACCATATAGCCCTAGGAATTACAAACAAAATTTAAAAGTCAATTTATGGACATAGTTTTGTAGCAGATAAATCTGATCAATAAGAGATTTTCAAGCATCCAAGTATATTACAAGAGCTTAAAATGCTGTGGGGGAAGTGAAATGAAACCACTAGTCATGGAGAAAAAGAAAAATGTAAACTATCTGACTGTTACACAAGCACTTGCTCATTTTTTTAATGGATGGAGGTGGTTATGAAACTACTTACTATGACTTTTTTTAAGAGTCTGTTGACTATGTTTTAAAAGAGTGTTTTACAGTTTTGTTATCAGAAAAGATATCCTTTGCCACGAGGGTCCAAACTTTTCAAAGTTTTTGTGGCAAGTAAGCAAGCAGGAAATTGGAAGCTTCCAGCTCTAAGGCCCTGCTCCTGGCAAATTGGAAAGGCAGCCCCGCTCTGCCTCTGGGCAAGGGTGTCACTGATCTTTCCTACTCAGAATGCCATTTTTGTCAACTGCTGCAGCTCTTGAGCAGACTCACATTGGAGAATCTTCCTTTAGGTTTATGCCCTCAAATCCTTCCTTGTGGGATATCTTCCTGCCTAGCCTGGCCAGACCTGATGAGGTTCATCTGATAAATATTCTCAGAGACCCATGCTGCTTTCTCAGATCATTTATAATGTTTCATAATGATGCATTAAAAAGGGCTTGACCCAAATCCAGATGGGCTACTGACTGTTAGCTCTGTGTGGACAGGTCCTGGACTGCTTAGCCTCATCCTTTTTTCTCTAGCACAGAGCTCAGGGCTTAGAGTTTCATAGAAGCTTAGTAATTATTTGTTGAATGAATGAATGGATGAACTAAATAAAAGGAAAGTCTTTAAAAGACAAGCCCCCTAAAAATAGCAATGCTTTCAGGTTATTTGTACATGTATGTTATTCATTTATTATTTGTTTACTTATTTTCAAGACTAATGTGCACTTAACTGTGGGCTGTGTATTGGACTGTGTCACTTGCACATGGTGGGCTGTAAAGAGTTCGAGATTTTACTCAGTGGGACTGGGAGCAATAATGATTCCCGATTGCAGGCAGATGTTTGATGTTCATTAGCTGCAGTGGAGCTGTCTTGTTGTAGGACCAAGGGACACCCCTGCAGAAAAGGTACTGGGGTGCCGAGGACCTGGAGCAAGGGCTTCTCCTGTCTATATACCCTCCCAGGAAAGTCTTCTCTCCTCCTGAATCTAGGAGGTCTGTAGTTGACTCTTTTCACAGTAACAGAGAGTTTGGCTAGAAGAAGAGGTTTGGAACTGTTCAAAACTGTGCAAATAAGAAATGCAAAAGATAACCAAAAAGAGCAAATAACAAAATGGAAAAGAGACAGATTTAGCGATAGAAGCTTCTGCTGTGGCAGGAGCAAGCATTTTGCTTTTAGTGTGGCCCTCTCTGAACTGTAGCAGAGGGAAGCTGGATAAACAAGAGCGCTCTTTTGAGCACTGACATGCAGCCAGTTGACGTGGGGCTCTCCAGACAAAGAAAACTGATTTAAGGCAAAACTACTCAAAAGAAAATGAAGTGCTAGTGGCCATAGGAAAGACAGCTGAGCATGATTTAGTGAAACTTTGGCTTGAACCCTGACTCTGCAGTTTCTAGCTGTGTAACTTTGGCAGATGACTGAACTTCTCTGAGTTTCAGCTTCCTCATTAGTAAAATGGGATTTTGCAATACTCCTTAAATGAGAGAATGGATATGAAAGTGTTAGCTTCCTAAGAGGTTGTCCAGTAAATATTTGTCAAAACTGCTGAAAGACGGAGATTTCTAGAGTAAGACTGATACCTGGACATCCATGAACAGTTTAAAGAGGTGGCTAAACAGGGTGATCCTTGGATTCCACCATGCCATGGATGTGTGTGAGTACTTACCAACATATATAAATCTCTGGGTGTAGGACTGGACTTCTCAGCCTTGGCACTGTTGACATTTTGGGCTGGAAAACTCTTTGTTGTGGGTGGTAGGGTGGGGCACACTGTAGGACATCTGGCAACATTCCTGGCCTCTACCCACTAGATGCCAGTAGCATCTCCATTCGAAGCTGTGACACAGAAAGGGACTCCTGACCTTGCGCAATGTTTTCTGGGGGACAGAATTGCCCCTGGTCAAGAACCAGAGTCTAGAAGATGAACTCACACGTAGGAGACATGTGTATGCAGGTGTGTGTAGGGACAGTAAGGTGGATTAGTGGTTAAATATTATATATGTCAATACGATAATAAGGCCAAACCTGAGCTTTTTCTTTTTAAAGGCACCCCAAGTAATTTATTGTTAAAAACTAGACTTTAACAGGATGATGTCAGTTATGCAAAACACTTAGCATATAGTCCCTTAACAACATTTCTTCATACTGTACTGTAATGGACTAAAAGGGCTCTCTCCCTACTGACTACCAGCTTCTGGGGGATGGCAGCCACTTTTTTATATGCCTTAGGACATGGCGGAGCGCTGGCCCATAATTGTCTAACGAAGGCAAGATTTATTGAGGAATGGATTTTTTAAGAAGTCAGAAAATTTTAGTATGGCTTAGAAACCAACATAATGGCGCTTACAGATCTGTTGCGTAAGAACAATGGTGTATAATATGTGAAAAGATTCTTCTTTAAATGCTTAAAGCAGACAAACTCATCTGAATAGTTATGGAAATTCAGAAACCCAATTTGCATTCTGACAGTTGAGGCCAAATTCTTTCTGACTGGCTGAATAGACAGATAGATGAATGGCTGGAGAAGGATGTGTATCAAGATGTGTGTAAAATACTTTTTAACATAGAGAAGAGTATGGAAAGAGGGTAAGGTTGACAACAGCAGAACTAATATTTATCGAAGGCTTACTCAGCCTTAAACACGGTATTGGTGTTTTATGTATGTCATCCTATTTAATCCTTATAATGATGAAGGGATTATTATCTCCATTTTAAAACCAAGGCTCAATGAGATTAAGTAACCTGCTTAAGATGAGGGGTGGGCCTCTGAGCCCAGCGCTAAGTATCTCAAATATCCAAGACAATCTCCAGTTGCACAGTTTTACAGAAGTCCTCCCTGTCCACAGTGGGGTGCAGAGACCTGTGAGGGACTTGGGTCTTGCCCTTCGGGCCCTATCTGGCCCTCCCCCTCTCCCCACCCAGGGATGCAGCCTGGCGTCTGCTCCACACACGGCGCTTCCTCCTCTTCAGATCCTTTTGCTGCCTGAACCTGTTTGCAGTACTGACAGGTTACAACACCTGTGGCTTTGGCTGGGTGCCCACCGCACACAGGGCCCCCACATCAGCAGGAGCCCAGGGAACCGACCTCACACCACGATTGCCCCCTGCCTGTGGCCATGCTCATCGCCAGGTGAAGAAATGCCTTTTTCATTGGAAGCCAATTACTCACCAATCAAGCCAGGAACAAAACACAGAGGGTTAAACTCTCTTAATTCTCTCTTATCCCCTTCATCGTGGGTGTGCATTTTAATACAAACTTTTACACGATTCCCACAGCCATTCTGGGGAGTGCATTCCCAGAGATCCATACACTCTGCCCTCCTTCAGTTACATCTGGCATTTCCCAGGGAGCCTTGCGTTCATTCATTCATTTCATAAATCAATCATATTGATTAGGCTACTACTATATGCCAAACACTGTGTTAAGAGTACGAGTGAGACAGATAGGAGCTTGGAACTGACATTCTCATGGGAGGGCACAAAAAATGGGTAAATAAATTAGGGAAGTCCTAGGAAATAATATGGGTGATGGGCTGGAGAAGTAATGGGGTGGGCAGAGCTGCATAAATTGAGGCAATCAGTGAAGACAGTTCTGGGATGAATTGGGTGTTCCAACTGAAGTCCCTGGGGAAAGGGGTTGTGGCACAAACTGGATCAGGCAATTGAAAACCCCCCGGGTTCAGAACCAGGGCCCTGGCTGTGTCTTGCTGCATGCATATCAAATTATAGGACTACAAAAATAAAGAGAGGGAGAAGAGTGAGAGGATAAGGAAGAGAAATCAAAGTTGCCATATACTGCAGGTAAGATTGAAAGTCTAAGACAAGAACTTTGGCCCCTGAGGGAAAGGGAAGAAAATGGAAGACACGGAATGAAATTGAACCCATATTTATTTAGTATCAGACACTGTGCCAAATGCTTGACATATATTGTGTCATCGAGTTATTTTAAATAACAAACAAACAAACCCGTGTAGTATATCATAATGCCAATTTCACAGATAGAGAAACTGATATTCAGGGAATTTAAATAAATGTTGCTTGGTCATTGTGCCGTGCTGGGTGGGAGTCAAACCTTGGGCTTCATGTCTTTAAAAGGCACACCCTGTCCTTGATAGAATGCTACACCCTTGAGGGTGAGCGCTAAGACTTTTGTTTGGGGAGAGTATATGTAAAACTTCATGGGGTTAAGAAGGGAGATAGTGGCATAAATGTAAACCTATTTTTAGTGCCAGAACTTTTGGCAGGGAAGGGAAAGAGAACACAGACAGTAGATGAGTGGGTAGGTACCAGAATTCAGATTTAGTTAACTGAGTATATTAACAACAAATATAGTTACTCAACAGTTGAGTAGATCAACAAACATCGAGTTGTTACAATATCCACATCCATTCATGATGTGACAGCTGGGTTAGTGATCACTTTCTTTTCCATTGTGAGCTAGAGACCTGTCTTTCCCCCAGACCAGAAGACAATGGTCAGTACCTTTTTAAAACTAGCTAATAAGTGCACACGGTAAAAATGCAGACAGTATAATGAATTGTGTACTAAAAGTAAGCCTCCTTCTCTACCTGTCCCTGCCCCTCACACCTTGAGTCAGTTCCCACTGTCAGTGAAGATAATGAAAAGATCATTTTAAACTTTGTGAGTCTGAGGACTTAGAATCCTTGTTATTTCAGAGGATCGGCTGCACCTTTCTATGCCACATGTAGTCATTAATTAAACATGTAATTACTAAATATCTATTAGAGGCAAAGACTTAGTTTCTTTTTCTGAATGTTTCCTATTGTGCTGTAACAAATGATCGCAAATTAGTGGCTTAAAACAATTTGTTGTTTTTATAGTTCTGGACAACAGAAGCCCAAAATGAGTGAATAGGGCTGCCTTCTGGTTTCCTTGCCTTTTCTAACTTCCAGAAACCACCTGGATTCCTTGGCCCCTGGTCCCTTCCTCCAACCTCAGAGCAGCAGCAAAGCCTCTTTAAGTCTCTCTCTCTTGACTCTGAGTCTCTTGCCTCATTTTTTTTCCCTTATAAGGATGTTTATTATGAGATTGGGCCAACCTGGATAACCTAACATAATTTCTCCACCTTAAAATCCTTAATTCAACACATACTCAAAGTCTCTTTTGCCATATGAAGTCATGTAGTCACAGGTTCTTGAGGTCAGGGATGTGGACCTCATGGGTGGGTAGGGGTGCTGCTATTCAGCCTAGCACACCATCTGAAATGGAAGTAATTACATGGGTCCAAGGTTTTAAAAAAATGGAATTTCCTAAATAAGTTACAATTCGGTTCATTCTCTCCATCCCAGTTATGGCCCCTGTTACCTTTGAGGTCATTGCAGAGCCTTCTTGCTAGGTACTTGAATCACTCTTCCCACCCATTCTTCACTCTGCAGCCAGGTGGCCTTTCTAGGCATGCGTTTTGTTCATACCATTTCCCCATTTTAAACATCTCAGTGACTCCTTGCTGGGCTCAATATGTGAAAAACTTCCTTTGCAGAGTTAGCATGACTTCTCTGGTTAATAAGTACCTTGCAGCCACCCTAACTTCTTCCAGCACCTCAGATTCTGCCCCTGGGCCTTTTCTCATGCCTCACTCATCTTTCAGATCTCAGCTGGGGTCTTAGCCCCTTAGGGAAATCACCCCAGATTCCCCTGTGGGTAGGCCAGATTAGACGCTGTCTCTGTGGTCCAGTAACAATTCTGCATTACCAACTAAATCGTTGTTGGGCTGCATGAACATCCATCTTTCTCACTTGTGTGTGTTTAATAAATATTTGTTGCCTTAGTGACTGCATAAATAAATGAATGAGTGAACTTCATTCTCACTGTAGAAACTCATTCTCTCTCTGGTCTCTACTCACCCCAACATTTATCATGAACCTTAATTCTCTGGGTGCAAAGCCATTTGGCAAGATAGTAACTGCTAGGGAGGCCATCAGGTATCAGCTTCTTATCAGAAAAATAGCTACATATGTATCTGGCTAAAATTTTCTTTTTTCGGGTGTGTGTATATCTGAAAGCCTTTTTAATGAACTTTTAGATTTGGGGTCTTACCTTCCTCTCTAGTTCTAGACTGATCAATTGTGCAGCACTGGAAATCATCAACAGCTAGAAATAGTTCAGCAAGAACCATTTGCCGGTGTCGACTTGTCTATGGACATACTGTGTGCTTGCAAGGTTTTAACAGACGAGCATTCAGAAACAGTTCTCTGCACCAACACACATCCTACTTTTCTTCCTCTTCCGCAGAATGTTCCTGGTATTCATGAAAACAAGTTACCAGGTTCAGTGAGCTGAAACTCCCCAGAGAAGGGAGGAGAGTCAAGCAGGGGACTCTGGCAGGGGGACCCTTTCTTCCTGTTCCCGGACATGCCAGGGAAGGCGGTGAACCACACGCTCAGCTTGTTTTTCTGGAAACAGCAGGCCCAGAGAAAGGCACGGCGTGGCAGCATCTCTCCGGGAGGGCTGCAGCTTACAAGATTCCAGTATTCTAATGCCAACCTGGCAGGCGAGATGGTAAGGCAGGCCTTACTTCCAGGAGAAATCCTTGCTTCTTACAGGAGGTGGATTACAGGAAGGATGTGGATGTGCCACTGTTCATATCAGGAATTCTTCAGCAGGAGAGGGCAGACAAGGTTGTTCATCAGCAGAACCTGCCAAATAAATAGGGCTCATTTGATACAGCCTGGCAGCTCACCCAAGCCCTGGGTAAAACTATGTCCTCCCTCACCCCTCTCCTAACTTCTCTGGGTTGGCTTGTCGGTTAACCTCTTTAACTGGTCACCACGGCTGAGTAGGGAAAATAACATGCCAGATTCCAGCAGTTAGAAGCTGTGTGACCTTGGCTAGATATTAAACCTCTCTGAGGCTGAGTTGTGTCACCTGTAAGATAGAGGGTTACACCCACACTGCTAGTTTACAGTAAGGATTCAAAGGAGACATCATGTTATAAAGGCACACATTTGTATATAGCACATTCAATGTTATCTATATACCACATAACTTTCTATTTCTCTTAAACATCGTTTCAATTCTTTAGTTAAGTCGCATGGACTTTCTATATAGACAACTTCATCTGCAAATAGTGCTAATTTTGCCCATCCTTTATCAATAGTTAAATCTCTTTTTTCAACCTTACAGTAGGGACGAGGGCTGTCGGAACAGGGCTAAGCCGGAAGAGTGCTGGTCTACTTCCTCTCCTGCTTTGCATCAGTGGCAATGATTCTGAGAGCTTATTATGAGGTATGACTTAGTTGTAAAACTCCAGTAGCATTGTAATAGACAACATGTTTTCCCTATTTTTACTTTAATAAGATTTTTTTTTCTAATCAGGAATTGACTCTTAGTAACTGTTTTTGTTTTTTTTTAACAGTCCTGAAAGTGATCCTGTGGTTTTTTTCTCCTTTAATCTACTAATCTGCGTGACTGACACTGATGATACATAACCATCCTTGGTTATGGGCTCAACGCTACCCAGTCTGCTTAATACAGGTGAAACTCTTGCCTCCTTCTCTTCCGTCCGCTGGCCTGCATCAGTCCATCTGTCTTCTCTCTCTGATGACTGCATCCCCTGTTCCCTGGCACCTCCTTTTAGAAGGAGGGAGGGACCGGAGAGGGGAGGCCACTGTGCCCATGGGCAGAGACTGTCACAAGACTAGCTGGGCATATGGAGAGAGAAACTCACGAGTTCGTGGTTCCTGTAGGTGGAAGTTTGGAGGCCCTTGGAGTCTGTTCTCTTGTGCCATCTCCTGCAAACTGCTGCTGCAGCAGCCTTGGACCAGCTGCCAGGCACCTGACTTCATGTCCCTCTGACCACAGAGGACCAAGACCATGTCTGCTCAGGCTGTTTCCATAGAAATGCAAATACATAGTGAGAGCGCTTCCTCTTCAGACCACCCTGTCCTTTTCTTCCCCTTTCTTTTAGCTCTTTTATGACAGTAGCTTGCATTTCACAACAGAGAGCTGTGTCACTCAGTCACGCAGTTCCCTGTGAAGAAATACATTTTCTTTTCTTCTCTCTGTCTCTTTCAAAAGCACAGAAAACAATGACTGATGAACTTCTGGGTCTTTATGAGTTGGTCGTGTGCATTTCTCTGACTGGGGACAGGAAGAGAAACAGGGGCTAAGCTTAGTGGCGTCTCTGCAGATGGGTCTGACTTCAGGTTGGTAGGAGAGAAGGGGAACTCTCACAGAAGAAGGTGGGCAGTGCTACATCAGTCCCAGGACAGTTCAGACCCAACTCTTCCCACCCTGAGGGTGGAAATGAGGGTTTCTGTCTTCCTGGAAGATGCCTGTCTCCTTCCACTCTACAGAGTGCCTCCCCCTGTGTCAAAGATAGTCAATTTAAAAATCTACGTGGTCCCCAGGGAGTGGGGGAGAACCCACTTTGAAGCTTCAAGTTGTGCTGATGTGGGGTTAAGTTGTTTTATGTCCCACTTTCTATGAGACCAAGCTCTGAGAAGGGGTGTGGGCAGGGCATCAGCAAAAGAGAACTGAAGTTAAGAAGTATTTCTTAGGTCAGATGCCTAGAAGAACCCTGATATAAGGATGCATTTGCAGTAAGTTAGGAAGGAAAATGGGAAGGAAAGGGGAAATCAGACAGGAAAGGGTAGAGAATCAAGCAAGGGTGATCTTGGGCAAAGCCTGGTAGAGACTGACTTCAACTTGGTCCTGAAATGGTACTGGTGTGCAAGTTCAACCTCAGAGGTGTGCTGACTTGAAGTAAGGGAGTCAGGGTTTCCTATCACTTCACACAACAGTCTAACATTGTGTGAATATAATCTCCTGGGAACTTCCAGCTTTGTGTATGGGGGAAAAGTGGGCCCAGGCCACACAGGTTAGTCCCCTGAAAAAAAGAATTGCAGGGGCCAAGGGGCACACCAAACAGTAACAGGGGATCTGCAGGAATCTGGCTGTAGCACAAAAATTGTTCTATGAAGGGATTAGTAGCATAATAGACCCAGGTTAAACCTGTAGATTCCCAGCTCTCACCCAGGCTGAAGGAATCAATGTTTCTGGGAGTGAAGCCCAGAAACCCACACGCTTGTCCAGCTCTTTGTGTGATTCTGATGCCTTCAAATGGTGGAGAACCACTTCTGTACGTTGTAGTGGGCTGAGGATTAGATCACAGCAAACAGCAAGTTGGGAGACTCTGCAGATAGGAAGAAAGCAGTACGTGAGACAGAAAATGATGCAGGCTTTGCAGCTAAACGGCCATTCCTCTCCCAGCCCTGAGATTCTGTGACTTGCAGAAGTCCACTTTAGCTCAGTTTTTTCATCTCTCTGCCCCATAATATGTACTTCACAGAGCTCTGAGGAGTTCATGCATTCATTTATTCATTTGAGACATATGAATTGACTGCCTATGCATTTCACTGGCCACTTTCTCAGCTGCTAGGGGCATAGGAATGGGCAAGACAGATAGGCTTCCTGTCCTTCTGGAGCCCACGGGCTGGGCTGTCACATCCCTAGCCCGGAGATCAAAGCCTTGCTTTCTTTTCCGACTTCCTCGAACTCTTCCTCTCAGGCTCAGCTTGTGGCTTTTCCATCTTCCTGATTTTCTCCAGTTCTGCAAGGCTAAGAACACATACTCAATGGTCAGAGGGGTTACAGTAAGTTTTGGACAAACGTTGCTGTAGAAAGCCCGCTGGGATGGAAAGTAGACCAATATAAGACAGAAAGAATTGTCTGTCCCAGTGAAGAAGTTGTTTTGGAAGGCCTGGTTAGGTGCCCCAAGTTAAAGGGGGTGTGAAGCCTGATATATGGGGAAAAAAAAGGTAAAAGTTAACCAGATTGGTCAAAAGATACTTCATAGCACAGTGAAAAAGACCTTGAATAAGCAGTAATTCATCTATCTCTTCATTATTGATGTCTTCAGCCCGGTTGACAAGCCAACCCCTTGGGACTGGGATAAGACGGCCTCAAATCCCACTTCCAGGGCCCCCTCCTAGCTCTGACTCATGGCCTCCTGCTCTTGTATGCACCATCTTTGTTCTGAAGCACATTGATTTTGACGTCAGAAAAGGCTTTTCACTTCTTCTTACCAAATGAAATCCACTGACACACAACCCTAATCAGCCATAACAAAAACTCAGCCATGTGCTTTGGTCAGACTCTGAATGGAGGAAGTTTTTCCATCCCAGAACAGAAACAACATAATGGGAGGAGCAGCTCCTTCTGCAAGTGGCTGGTACGCATGGCAAAGCTTTTCTAGCTGTGGGTCCTGGGGGCTGCCTCTTCTTTCCTGCTCCACGCGACCTCCTCCCATCACTCTTCTTCCCGGCCTCTTGCTCTGAGCAAAGTCAGCATGTTCCTCCCTTGCCTCATGCAGAACAGCCTCCCCACCTTCAGGGATAGTCTGGGCCCACAAGGAACTTAAGAAGGTCGCTCCCATAAAGATGTAGTCACCTCTCCCAGAGGAATTCTAACTTCCGCTGGTTGGATAGCAATTGTTTCCACCTCATTATGATCCTTTCTATACAACAGACACTGACGGATCCCCTTGGGTATGGTTTCTATTGCCCTCCCCCACAACTAGTTTGGAATTTATTTCTTGGGACTACAAGTCTTCTCAAATAGGAACCTTGCCCACCTCTCAGGATTCTTTGGAGCATTAAGCGAAGCCAAGGATATGACAGTATTTTGAATACCCCAAGCATGAACAGTTGTTCCTCAGTTTTTCCAATTTCACATGACTGGGCCCATTTATCATGATCCATTTCTGTAAGGACGACATCGTAGCATGGCCGCTTCTGCAGGTTTACTTGACTCTTCATCACTTGATAGCAAATTACATTGCTCCTTTTTCAAGACTTCTAGAACTTACACACTTCTCCTGAGTAGTATTTTCCCACTGGATTGTTATTATTAATATAGTCAGAAAGTTTCTTGATATCTCAATTCTTCTTCTCTTTTTTATTATTCTAGGAAACCAAAAAGAACGGCCAGGTAATTTTTGCCTCTTATGCCCTGAAAGAACAACCAAGTCTGTGAATCTCAGAGATGCAAGCTCCCCTTGATCCTAGGGAGAATGGGGGCTTTTGGGTCAGGAAACAGCTTTACTGAGGCTGGTGAGCCTGAGAGTAACTCCCGTGGGGAGGCAAGATCCTGGAGGTGTGGGTTCCTGTACCTACAGAGCACGGAAGGTGGCATGACCTTTGTTGGGTAAGTAAGTGGCTACCTGCTTAGGGGACTGTTAGCTGATATTTTAGTCTCCTCAACAGCCATTCCCCTGCTCCTGGGAACAGGACCCCGGGGTTCCTTTGGGGAGCCACCTCTCCACTACTTTTGGTCAATGAGCTTCCCAGGGACTGACTTTGTTGCCATTTCCAAGGATAGGCTTGTGACCTGTGTCCAGTCAAAGTGTCTTCCATACTGCAGGTCTTACCTGTTGGTTCAGGGATGTGTGTGGAACTGAAGCCAGATAACAAGGCTCAGTTTCTCACACTGGGAAAGTCCTAGTCATCTTTTGAGACCAGGAACTTGAGGTGTCCCCAACTCTTTGATCCCACAGAGAGATGGGCTGCCCCATTGCAGAGCCCATTGCCTGCATGTAGGAAGGCCATTCTCCTTTCTTGCTGGCCTTCCTCAGGACCTTGAAGTGCAGGGACGAAGATTATTTTTAACTTACTGCCAGCGTATAACAGGGCAATTGGCCCATGGTAGGTATTCAGTCAATTTTTATTAAATGGGGGAGACGGGACTGAGGAAGGAGGTTCAGTCCTGGTAACGGGAAGAGTCAGGTTGAGTGAGGACAGGGCCAAAGGCTCCAGGTTTTGTTGAGATCACACTTCAGATCTGATTTCCAAAGAGCCTTATTAAGAAAACAGCAAAACTGAGAGCGGCAGTGATGTCTCCGGCAGACCTCCCAGCTCCCATTAATGGCTCCTATAATAGCTTTTCATTGCCTTCTCTTTCCTTAAGAAAGTCTCACATTGTCATCCAGGCCTGTTAAACGTTCTGTGGGCCCATTATCAAAATAGCATTTTCAGCTTCACTGAACACATGTAGGAAATGTTGTCGTGTTAAAAAAAAAAAACAAAAAACGATGGGGATAAGCACAGATTGTATTGGGGTAATTATCTCCTTTCCAACAGCCTTTTGGAAAAGGATATTTCTAATTTTTGGGAAGCTGTACATATAAAAGGGTAAGTCATCACTGATTAGATTAGTAACCCAGCAATTGAAGCCTGACATCAAATTAATTTCTCCTCCCCCTCTGCCCTCCTCCTCTCTGGCCAACCCTTCCTTCCCCGTAGTAAAGAGGGAATCACGCAGATTTCTGATGGATGCCTGGTGCGAGGGTCATTTCTTATTGCTTTTCTGTGGGAGTAAAATCCAGTCTGTAATGCTATGTGGTTCACATCAGGGTCACCCTGGGATGAAGGCCTGGCTTGGGGTCATGGATGTGTTGTAGGCAAAGAGGTGTCCTCAGGGACTGAACATGCACCAGAGAAGAATTGAGGCCTTTCGTTTGTCATCAGCCTTTTTAAGACACTGTCTCCAGACACTCAGAGGGATGTCTCCCCAGGGGCTCCGCAGGTAGGTGGGGCTGAGGTTGAGGCCCAGCTGTGTGGTGGGCCAGCAGCAGAGTCCCCATATTATGCTTGTGTGAGCTCTTGTCCCCTCACTTGTAAAATCTGAGAGACAACATGCTCGCACCTCACATGGGAAGGAAAGATTGAAGCCATCCATGAATGCACATGTGCGTGGTGACTGCTCAGAAAAGGCCATGTGTCTGTTCAAGGCCACTGTCTGGCCCTTTTCCTATCTTGCATCTGATTCCAAGTGGAAGACGCTGCCTGGGGGACTCCAGATCCGTGGAGGAAGTTAGGCATATCATATAACGATAAGCACATTGCTGTTAAGCACACAGAGGAAGGCCCGAGGAGCTAGGCGCTCTGGAGCCCAGGAGGCTTCTCCGGGGGGTGAAAAGGGAGCTGCACCTCGGAGGAAGGATGATCATTCCCCCAGTGACAGAGGAGGAGAGGGCTCCTGGGCAGAAGGCTGGAGTGGCATTGCAGGGACACATGGGGAAGGTGAGAATAGTGACAATGGGGCTCAGGCGCTCAGTGCATGGTGCTGCTTCCCGTGACAAGGGCTGTGGGTTTCAGTGGTTCAGATTTCATGGACTTTCAGGCTGCTGGGTGAGTGTTAAAAATGTAGCATCCTGTGGTGGGGCCCAGGAGCCTGCATTCTCCATCAGCTTCTGGGTAGACAAGCTCCTGGGTGGAGAAAAGCTGTCGGGGTGGAGAGTGAGTGCAGGGCAAAGCCTCGGGCAGCTTCCTCTCCCCAGACAGTGTAGGGGTCTGGGGTCTCAGGATACTGGCTATGCTAGCCATGGGCCCAACATTAATGGGCTTGAGGGGATAATCTGAAAAACAGCAAATGAGGAGCCCTGGAATAAGAACCCCAGGCAGGTGCTTGCTACTCTGTTAGGAATCATCAGGGCTGGGTGGAGGGGGCAGATTCAGGGCTGATGCCTGAGCTGGAGGAAGACTGAGGTGTGGGGCTGAAGAGTAATCACTGGGAGCAGCTTTTGCAGAGATGGGAGCATCGCAGCAGCCCCTGAGGCTTAAGACAGGGAGATTAAAAAAAAAAGCATCTACTAGTACCTGACATTATTCCAAGAACTTATTAACACATTTAATTCTCATAACCATTCTAATTAGAAAAATTATAGAGTTATTCTCAATTAGTAGACAAAGAAACTGAGTCCCAGAAAGTCATTTGCTCAGGGAGACCCAACCCAGGCCCTCTGAGTCCTGTATGTGGGGCCTCAACCATCAATCACACGGTGCTACGGCTCCGCCGTTGACTGTGCACATGGTCCTGGCTGTGCACAGAAGGAGCCAGGGGATCTGGAAGTGGTGAGGTTGGAGGGAGGGCTGAGGGGCTGGGGGGCTGGGCCCTGGCCCCAGTGAAAGACACAGCAGTCTGGACAAGGGTGCTGGGCAAAGGCATGCAGAGAAACAGCCAGATTGGAAATGTTCTGAAGACAGAGAAGGTGGCACTCGTGGGTGCCCTTCCGGGGGTAGGCAGGCCCTCTGAGGGACTGACACTGGAAATCATCATTTCAGGGGATCACCCAGACCACAGTGTAGCTGGAAGTCTTTGGTGGTAAAGTGGGGACACAAAATTGAAAACTTGGAATACAGATGAAAGAGTTGAGAATCCCACCAGGTGGTATGGAGTTGCCAGGGGAAAACTCCATATTTGTGCTTGCTCCTATTTAGTGTAGGCTGGGGGGCGCACCCTCAGTCTCTGCACTCTGCCAGGCCCCTGAAGCTCTCTGGGTGGGCACAGCTCAGGTGCGCAGAGCCTCTCCAGCCCAGACTCAGCCTTCCCTTCGAAGGCTGACACACATTCAAAGCCCAATTCTCTCCCTCCTTGACCACAGAACTTTGAACACGTTGTTTCCTTCTGAGTTTCAGGTTTCTCATCTGTCAAATGGGCATAATACTTGCTGATGCACTGGTTTGGCTCTCTCATGCGGCTGGTGGAGGGGGAGGTGAGACAGGGGAGGTGGGAGCATTTTCTGCACAGGTGACAGGGGGCATCACTGCATTTACTCCAGAGAGAGTTGTATCTGGGTTGGGGTAGCAAGCACCCCTCTAATTCAGAGGGTGGGCTCTTCCATCAGCCAGCAAGGTGCTGATGCCTGCTCATGGGAACTATACTAATTGGGAGAATCCACGGGGAATTTCTGGCAGGTTACAATAGGGGTAACGTTGAAGAAGCTTAAAAGCTGAAAGAGCAGTGTTCTCGGTGTGTGTCTCTGCGGGTGCGTGGTGTGTGAAGTCACAGTGAATAATAATGGGCCACTTCGTGCTTTCCACCTTGGATGACAACCAGGAAGGTGGGGACAGCTAGTCAATATGAGAGAGAGCCCACAAACTTCTGCCACCGCCTCAGAGCAAGCACCCAGCCCTGCCAAGTCCCCTGTCATGCGGCAGTGATGGAGTGCAGAGAGAAGGGGGAGCGTGGGCCAGGCACGGCTGCAGAGGCCCATGGGGCCTGGAGGGCCTCAGAGGCCATGCGAAGGATTTGGGTCTTTATTCCAAGCACCCTGGGAATTCAGTGAAGTGTTAAGCAAAGGAGTCGTATGTTCAGTTTTGTGTTTTAAAAAGCTCATTCAGGCTGCTGTGTGGAGAATGGATTAAATGAGATAATCCATGTCAAGGACTTTGCTCAGGGCCTGGACTGTAATAAGTGGTCAGGAAACCTAATCCAGTTGCTGTTAATCTGTTAGCTGCCAAGTGCCTGGTGGGAGTGGATGGCAACTCTCAGCAAATGAGCCTTAGGCACTTCCTCTCTCTAACAAAGGGACGGAATGGTTCCAGGCTCATTGGCCAAGGCTGGCTTAGCCTGGCAGGTTTCCACATCTAGCTGTGGACACTCAAAAAGGAGGCGCTGATAGGAGAGAGTGAAAGCTTCCAACATAGAAGGCTGGTCAAAAATTGTTCTGAGCACCACCAGGAAGCCCCAGCAGCAAGGGCCGTGCTCCGGAGCAGGGGGCGGGGTGGTGATGGGAGGAAGCCATTCTTGCCTTGCTGGCTCTGGCCCAGCCCTCCTGCTGGCCTGGGTCACTTAACTGTCCAAATAGCTGGATTTCCAGGGGGCTTCTGGATTCCAAAACCTGAAGGAGAGGCAGGGATGACGCACAGGGGCAGACCACGCCTCCCCAGGGCAGGAGCTTGGCCAGGATGACAGACTTCTGGGCTGATTAGAGACTCCAGTGGGGAATGGGGTGGCCTTACAATCTGCCATTTCTGGGGCTGTTCTCTTCCTCCTGGAATCTGAATAGCAGGCAGCCTGTAATTGATGGCATCCACCCTTCTTGGCTTCTCTCCCCATGGCCTCCCATAGTAAAGTCCATGAGGCCAGGACTCCAGGAACAGTGCCGTAGGCTCCTTTCTACTCTGTCTTCCATCCTCAACACTGACCCATGCTGTGACTCATCGACGCAGAGATCCCCTGTTCTACGCAGCAGCCATGAGGCACATGTGTCTATTGAGCGCCTGGAAAGTGGCCGCATCAACTCCAGATGTGCTATGAGTGTAAAGCGCATGCTGAATTTCAGAAAACTTAGTATAAAATAAGTAATATTAATTATCTCACTAATAATTTTCCATATTGATCACATGTGGAAAGGACAATATTTGGCTATGCTGGATTAAATCAAATGTATTATTAAAATGGATTCCACCTGTTTTGCTTTTTCTTTCAATATGGCCACGAAAACATTTAAATTTGCATATCTGGCTGGCATCATATTTCTATTGGATGGAGCTGATCTAGGGCTGAACTAGGTGAAAGTGGTCCAATCAAACAAGGACAAATGAAAATCCTTTTAGTTCTTTGTAAGGTATAAATAGATGAGAAGGGAAAAATGAGTCCCTGACTGGTGAGGTGTTCATAGGGTACCCACTGCCTTGAGATGGTGGGGTGAGAAGACTACCAGCATGGATTCATAACCCAGCTCTGCCTGTTCCTTCTGTGTGATCTTGGGCAAGTCACCTAACCTTTCTGAGGCAGTGTAGGCCCCTGTGAGTAACATGAAGGTGGGGATAGACACCAGCGGGTGCCGCTCGGAGGAGATCCCATGAAAGGATGTGTGTGAATCTCCTAGTGGAGTGCTTGTGCTCAGTCAACAGGCTTTCCTTCCCCTCAGTGAGCTGTGAGACCACTTCCATCTGGCATTTCAGAACTGGGGGGGGGGGGCTTCTGAAACGGCAGCTTGGGGTCCCTCTGGTTCTTCAGAACCACTATTGTTTCAACTGCTATTCTTTATACTGGTTGGGGTAGTAGATGGGGTGGACAGGGTCCCTTCCGTCATGGAGAAGAGCTGCCCTGTGACCTGCAGTGGTCTAGAGGGGGCTGCTGGGGTGAGGCACAGTCTCGGCAAACATCAGGAGCTCTTTCTCCCTTCCTGGCTCATGGCTCAGCTCACTTGCAGCTCAGCTGGACTCTCCCATTCCCACTGGAAACTACCGAAACCCTCTCCAGTCCGCTCACTTGTAACCAGGCCTCTTGTCAATGTCGGCTAAGTTCAGCACCACGATTTCTGGGAGGCCAGCCTGAAGGCAGCCGGTTGTGAGAGCTGGTTCTCCATCAGCTGCATCCTGTCTCCAGCTCTCGAGGCTCGCTTGATGCCACGCCGGTACTCCACTGGAGCTTCTCTTGGTTCATGCTGATCCCCAAGCGATGAGGGCCTGTCTGATGGTTCACCTTTCTGAACAGCAAGGCTGAGCTTCAGGGGCAGAAAAAAGAAGGGACAGAAGATGACCAGCCTGCAAATGGGCAGATGGGGTCATGGCATGGGGATTCTCTGCAGGCAGGCAGGAATGCGACTTGGTGTGCATGTTGGAGGAGGTGGTCTTGAAGCCCACCACCATCCTGTGATACCCTGTGTTGAAACCATGGGATGCATTGGTTATGTTCCATGTATTATTTATTTGAATCCTCTTAAAACCCTTTGGGGTAAATTCGATGTCCTCCAGACCTTCCCTGGCTCACTCATAAATGCTCAGTGACAGAGCCTGGTTTTAAATCCAAGTCTCTCTTATTCAAGAACCAAACACCAGACACTCTATATCCCACCTGCATGGTCAGAGGATTGCTAAAAATATTCCCTGCCATTGGCTGAAATGAAAGGTCAGGGGACAATGTCAGAGTCCCTTTGTGCCCACCCAGCCCATACTGGCATGGGTGGCTTCTCTTCTTCTGTGTTCTTGGCACAGGCTGATGGATCCACATGGTTAAGTCTCTGGGGCCCTCAGATACACACTCACCAGAGCTATTTTTGTTGCTTTCCAGCTTCAAACTTTTTAGGAGGAAGAGGTGACTATTACAGAGTTCATTCTTATTCAACGCAGTTGTCAGTGCACTTCTTGGGAGAATTAAATTTAGTGATTTGAATGTGGCTTAAACCAGGGCACAGATCAATGTCATGGTCACTTTTAAAGGGATGATATATGTGAATATTTCTCACAGACTGCCTAGCCTATAGAAGGTGCTCAAAAAATTCCCTGGAAGGATAAGCTGTTATCATAGGATAAGGATAAGCTGGTAAGTGTGGGATCTGTGGTTCTTAATTTTGGGTGTGCAGTGGAGCTGTTGGGAGATCTTGTGAAAATGTGAATTCCTTCCTGCTATTCTGATTCAGTAAATCATGGGTGGAGCCCTGGAGCTCCTCAGGTTTTCTGACGTGGGTTCCCTTTGGGATACCCTTTGACGTTCCCTGGACTGGGTTGATGGATTATATGGCAGGTAGGTCAGAGAGCTTAAGACCCAGGCTAAGTAACTCATTCTGGGTTATGTGACCAGGAATGAGAGACATAAGCCTAGAAAGAGGCATAGAGACTATTCTAGAAAATGGGGTGGGGGTGAGGGGCAAGATGGTCCTAGGAGTAGGAAGAAGGCACCCCAAGGGGAACTGGTGGTTTTCAAATGCACATAACTTCCAGAGATTCTATGACTTTGATGCTTGTGAGGCCCTGTGCCTTTCATGTACTATCCTTGCTCTGCTGAAATAAATTCAAGATCCAGTTCAGCTGTTTCCTCCCCTAGGAATCCTGCCTTCTTCCCCTAAGGTTTAGTTACTTAGCTTATCCAGCACAAAATGATCCCTTTCATTTCTGTATCCTAATGACCAAAGAAAAGCTGTCATGTAGGAGCTTAATCAATCGATGATGGAGTTTGAACGGTTTAGCTGTTTTCCAGAATAGCTAGCAGGGACACTGAGGGGTTAAGCTCTACCAATATACTTTATTTCGTGCAAGGCTGCTAGGGCATGCCACCAGCAGGTGATGAGATTCCCTAATCTTGTAGGTTCAGAACTGGGGTCAGCAAAGGTGCTCTGGGGGAAGGGCTGAAATACTCCTGTTCAAGTGGAAATTGTGTGGGGATGGGCCATCAGGGAAAGCCATGGGGACCAATGGGGAGACTAGCCAGTGTTAAGAAAATATAAAGAGGTAAAGGAGAAAGAGGGGAAGGAGAGAGAAAAAGGATGGAGGAGGAGGGAGAGAGAGCAAGAGATTTAATACTACTGTCCTTCTGTGTCTAAAATTATGTGTATCCCCATTTGGAATGTTGGATAACTTGTCCAAAGCCCCATCATCCATGAAGGAGTAAATTCAGGATTTGAATTGACTCTCTGCACTCCAAGGCTGGTGTGCTGCCTTCTGCATCCTGTGGACAGGACAATGAGTAGCATACTTGCCCTGGGCCAGTGTCTCATTTCTGTGGCCACACTGGATATCGCCACATAATCATCCTTTTTTTCTTTTCCCATTGATTCCAAGTAAGACCTCAGAATCCTTCACAACAACCATGTTCCTGGGACATACCACCTTCCTGTAAGATGTAGCATTTAAACCAGACTTGCTTGTTATTTTGTTCAACATTAACCCCTTCTAGAACTCAAGAGAATTTATTTCCAGTGGCTATTCCATTTGAAAACTCTGGGTATGCCTACATGCAATCATTATGTCGTGTATCTTAAATTACGTACTGTTCTGTGTCAGTTCTATCAAGTAAAGCTGGATAGATTCATATTTGTCTTTTGCCAAATTAAAATAAATAGAAAGTAAAAGAAAATTCTGGGACCCTGACTGTATTTATGGGGGGAAAGAAGAAAACTACAGTATTGAGCAGTTTGATTCTCTAAACCCAGACTGTGAGAAGACGGGAGTTATGGGGAAAAGGTATGAGCTATATTGGCAGCAAGAACTGCCAATGATCACAATGAAATAGAAGTAACAGCAGTCTTCATTATCGAGTGCTAACTATGAGGCAGGAATTAAGGAAGTGCAGTACGTGAGTTATTTCATGTACCCTTGACAATGACTTTATGCAGCTTACAGATGAGAAACCGAGGTACAGAAGGAATGTTTCCTTTGCCCCAGGTCATACACCTGGAAAATTAGAACTCGGATTCCAAGCCAGGTTCCCGAGCTGAGGTCTTTGGCAAAGCCCAACATGCTCAGGTCTAGAAGGAAGGGACACTGTCAGATACCTCAGACACCCTGAAGTCACTCCTGGGGCCATTTCCCCTCCAGCCCCACTCGTAAAAGGTCAGGGAGTTATGGGATGGGGGTGGAGATCCTAATCCCGTCATCCCCATGGTTTATGCAGAAGTTAGTCATGATTTCATGGCAGCCCTGGCCGGTCCCTGCCCTGCTGTCACGTTGAGGAGCCCTGTAACTGGGCACCCTGGGGAGGAAGTTAGCACAGGCAGGAAATGACTGGGCAGTGGGTTTCTGGGACCCCAGAGACAGCGATTTCAGGCTCCTGCCCTTCCCTTCCTTTTGTCGCCACGGTGGAGTGGAGGGAAAGAAATGGGCATTAAGGGTCCCCTTCGTGTGGGGTCACTGCGCTGAGGTTTCTCCTGTCAGCTCTGTAACCTGACCCTTCGGATATCCCTAGTTTTAAAGTGAGCCAGCTGAGGTTTGCGTGGAGTGGGACGCGAACTCGCTTCTGTCTGACTCTACACTGGGTCTCCCCAAGGAGAAATCAGGCCTGAACCAACAAGGAGCCAATCAGCACAGGTGAGGAGGGCGGATATGTTCCTGAGAAATGATTTTGGGGCTTTGAGCCAGTTTTGGACTCCCTGGGCTCGGTTTCCTCCACTTTTCCTTCGGGTTCCAGTGAGGCCTAAGTGTGACTGCATGTGCACAGACCTCCAGGGGAACCTTTCTCCTGCTTCCTGCCATCATCGGGTTCACTGTGAAAGTACAAGTCTTTATTTCTCCTGGAAGCATAAGACATTACAAAGATAGATGTGGCGGCAGGGACTAGGTTTGCCTCGGTGCTAGTTGAGGAAAACTAAACATACTGACAAATCCTTACTTGTAGTTCAAGATGAAGGTGGCTGTATAGAATCCTATGGGGCTGGGGATGCATTTGCAGTTTTCTTGGGTGATTTTCTAGATTGACTAAGAGGGATCAGCATGACAATTGGCCTTCTCCTGACTGAACACACATGCTTTGGGGTGAGCACTTTCAAAAACTATCATCTCTTTCCCAGGGGCTCATGTAGACCCTTGATACCCAGGGTGTGGTTAGGGGATCACCAGGATTATTACCATCAGGACCTTGGCAGAAACAGCAACTCAGGCCCCAGCCCAGAC